TATATGTTCGTGTGTTTGTGTTGTGTTTGTGTTGTGGGGTGGGGGTTTGGGGGGGGGGGGGGTGGGGTGGGGGGGGGTGGGGGGGGGGGGTGGGTGTGGGTGTGGGTGTCGGTGTGGTTGTGCGTGTTCTTATCATTCACACCCACACCCACACCCACACCCACACCCAAACCCCACACCCACACCCACACCCAAAACAACCTTCTCGATGCTCATCGTTCATATAAAAGAGAAAAAGAATAAGAAAAAAAAACAAGATATATTCACGATGGTGAAAAGAGTATTGTAGCTGAGAGTAGAGTAAGAACATCAGTCAGTGTATGCTTTCTTTGTTTGTCGATCCTCACTTTTTTCAAACGATCAACACTGATGGAAGAACGATGAATGAATTTTTTATGAAAGCGGAGAAAAAGTATTGGAAGGAGTAGCTATGCGTTCTTCAGAAGAGAGAAGTAAAGAAAGAAAAATGGAACACAATCTTTTTCTTTTTTACTCATATAAGTTGGAAAAAACCAAGTACGCTGAATTCATTGTTTATTTTGTTACGTTCCATTTAATGTCATAATAGTATATATTTTTCTGACTAATAACTTCACACCACTCAGTCATATATAAACGTCATCAATGAGTTAAGCGCTTTGTAACATATAAAAAACACAGAAAAGAATGGATTTCTGCGTCTATTCTTTGCCATCTAAATCAGATGTCAGGAACCACCATACTAAGAATATTGTTTTTGAAAAACCGAAGTATGGTACTAGGTAACCCATCGGTCTATAAATGAGAAACATCGTGCTCATACAAAAGAAAAGCAAAACTCATGTTTTTCTTTTCAAAAATCTTGTCGAAAACGAAATTCTTGTTTTAACCCTACTTTTCACAAGCTGACTAGAAAGTTTTTTAAATTTTAAAATTGCGATTTTCAACTCTGTTTTCAGTTCACTGTTGACTTTGGGAAAATATTAACATTTTTCTTTATTTTGTAGATTATCTCATTTTTCTTCGATTAGCTTAAATATTTTTTTTTATTCTTGTTCATTTTTTTGCAGATAGATAGATTATAATCAATTTATAATTTTATTCGCCATAATGCAGTCTGTTCAACATTCTACACCAGAATGTATTCGTAAATCTTATTATACTCGCAAGCCGAATGTTACTAAATACCAAACTATAGAAGATATTACTGTTATTTGGCTTGACTCACATGTACATGTTTCAATCGATTGTTTTGATACAAAGATACGTTTGCGACGCATGATTGATCATCTTTTAATATTCAATTCACATGATGAATTTCTAGAATACTTAAACTCAGAAACAACACAAGAGCATGTTTTTTTTATTGTTTCAGGCATTGATGGTGAACTCATTGTACCGAAGATTCATTCATCATCAAGAATTTCATCGATTTTTATTTTCTGTAATGATAAACTAAAACACGAGCAATGGGCTAATGCCTTTACTAAAATCCATGGCGTGTTCAATGATAAAGATGCTTTATTCAAAAAACTTATAGATGAAATTACGTTGTGTTTAAGTGATTTACAATCATTTCGTATACTAGCAAAGGAAGACTTAGAACAGAAATCACTATATGATTTAACATGTGAAGGTGCACGTTCTATGTGGTTTCAATTACTAGTCAAAGTTTTAGTGAATATAGAACACCCCGCTGAAGCTAAAAGTGATTTATTGGAAATATGCCGGACACAATACAAAAATAATCGACATGTAAATGAAAAGATTGATGAATTTGAACAAACATATACACGTGAAGAAGCTGTTTTGTGGTACACAAAAGATAGCTTTCTCTATCGACTATTGAACAAAGCTTTACGAACAGAAAACATAGACATTATTTATAAATTTCGTTTTTTTTGGCTGATTTGGATTATCAAATAAGAAATTTGCACAAAGAACAATTATCATCAAAGAAATCCCAAGAAACATTGTACCGTGGTCAGAAACTATCTACAATTGAGCTAAATAATTTGCTGAAAAATATCGGTGGCTACATAGCAATGAAGACATTTATGTCAGCTTTAGAGTCAAGTTCAGTAGCATCATACTTTGCGGGTAATGGTGAACAACGACCAGAACTAGAATCTGTGATTTTCGAAATTCGAACTAGTACATCTATTTCACCATATGCTAATATTAAGGGTCTTAGTCACTTTAAAGATGAACAAGAATTTTTATTAACAATAGGCAGTGTGTTTCGTATAGTGAACGTGGAATCATTTGATAAACAATGGTTTGTACAGTTGGCTCTAGATAAATCTGATAATCGACAGATGGAAGAACTTGCAAATTATTTCATAAAAGAATTTTTTAGCAAATCACCGTTACTTAATTTAGCAAGAATTTTATTTCAAATGTCGGAATATAATCGAGCTGAACAATATTGTATTAGGGCAGACAAAGAACTTTCCTCGGATGACAATAATCGAAGTGATCTTTATCGACTACTAGGTGAAATTTATCAAAATGGAAAGGGAGATTACCAAAAAGCTGAAGAAATGTACAATAAGGCTCTCTTTTATAGTAACAACTTATCACAGTCAACTACGATTCAGAACCATTTAGGTTTACTCCAAAATGAGATGAGCAATTACAATGATGCTTTAAAAACTCTAGAAAACGCAGAAGAATATTGCCGTAAAGATAATTTGTTCGATAATAATGTAATCGTAAAATTGGTTACTATTTACATAAATATGGGAATTGTTTATCGTCATAAATTAAATTTTGTGAAGTCATTAGAATATTATAATAAAGCTTTAGATCTTAATTTACAAATTCGACCAGAATTACATCCATCAATTTCTCATCTTTACAATAATATTGGACTTCTCAATTCTATCACATGTGATTATGATGCCTCATTAACAGCATATGAAAAAGCTCTGAAGATCCAATTACAAATTTTACCGAAGATACATACAGATTTGGCTACAGTGTATAACAATATGGCTCTCGTATACATGGCAACCGAGAATTATTCAAAAGCCTTAGAAAATTTTGAAACGGCATTTAATATGTTCAAAGAACTGTTACGATTAGATCATCCAACGCTAGCCACTCTATACCATAATATTGGTGATGCCTACAGATGCTTGAAACAATATGATAAGGCTGCAAATTATTTGGAAAAAGGTCTAGAATTACGTATTCAAAAGTTATCTTTGACACATGCACATATTGCTGAATCATACCAAAGTTTAGGATGGACATACTCTTTCCTTTCAAATCATGAAAAAGCACTAGATTTCTGTAAGAAGGCATTAAAAATCAAACCAGATGATGCTAATGTTTATCATTGTATGGGCATGATATATGATGCACAATGTGATTATAATAATGCCCTGTCTGCACTACGAAAGGCTATTGATTACTATGAAAATTTTCCAGCGAAGCGTAGCATTGCGCTTGTACGGGTAGATAAAACCATTGCAGCAATCTTAAACATCCAGGAAAATACCACTGATGCTATCAAACATTATAATAAAGCAATAGAAGTGTATCATGATAGCAAAGTGTTAAACACGGTAGTCTTCATAGAATTATACAACGCACGAGGAGTACACTCGTTAGGGGTAATTCGGATCAAAAATTAGAAAATCGATTTTGTTTTTATTCGCTCTCAATCATTGTACGTCGTAACAAGGTGATTTTTGGAGTGCTACTAGAACAAACTGTTTT